TCTCTATCTCACACACACACACACACACACACACACACACACACACTCACATTCAATCAATCAATCAATCAATCAATCAATAACAATCAATCAATCAAACCTTTTTTTTTTTTCAAGTTTTTTGTTTATTTATTTTTAAATTTTGTATATTTATTTTTCTAGAACACCTCATACCCCTGCAAAAAACAGAAATTCATTTCTAAAAAATACAGGTGAACTCAAGGACCATATATCTAATGATAAAAGATGACAAAAAAAAAATCCAACTTTTCTTTATATATATATTTTTAATGTTTTTAAAATCGAATTTAGTTTTTGATTTATTTTTTTAATCCGAAACAAAGTCAGATTCCAAAAGAAAAAATATGGGGTTGTAGGGCTTAAAATTCCCTCCAACCCCATAATTTGTTTTTGTTTTTTAACCACTTATTTAATTCAGGAAAATTCTGGTAAAATCGGGTCAGCGGCGCGGACCAGGTAGGCTGCGGATGCGGACCCGTCTGCGTCCGCCATCCAAGATTGGACCCGCGGATGCGTCTGCGGCTGTTACATAGCGGCTCAGTCCTGATCTGCGAAGGGTAGCGCAATTTTTCTGCACCGAGGGAGTGTGTGCTGCTGCTGCGTTTCGATTCGCTGGGAGTCAGCAGGCGGTGGTCTTAGCAGAAGTGGTGGCTCTTCATCGACGAGCGGCTCCAGGGACGAGCCACGTCACTACGCCCGCTGCTTTCAGCGGCGACATCAGCACGATTAGCCCTCTGCGGCATACCGCGATCTTGACTTCCTTGCGAGAGTGGGTGCAGCAAGTGTCGACTGATTGGCATCACGATCTCGCGCGCCCGGGCTACAATCTATTCCCGACATTCGGGACGGACTTCGACGTTCGCACTTCTCCTCATCAGCCGATAGTCGCGCTCACCTCCCTCATCCGCTTCCAACGCCCCCAATGAACCGCGCCACTCCTCTCACTCCCCTCTCCACCTTCGGTCTCCCCTCTCTTTTCCCCACCTTCTAGCAATCCGATCTCCATCCTCGCCTTTCTTTCTCCCTCGAGCCTCTCACCGTTCCGCTCCTCGATCCTGGACACTGGCGGCTGTGGCGCGAGACCTTTGTCGATCAGTCTGTATGTTTGTCCCGAGTGCAGGTGACGTGGACGCGAACCAGTGAGCAGCCTGCGTGCATCGAGTACCTGGAGCTGTTGATCCTGCAGGCTTGGAGAACGGACATGGAAGGCGACCTTCTCGATTTTCTCTTTGGATCGGTGTGGCCAGGCCATCGCCAGCTTATCGTCCAAGAACTCATCGTCCCGATCATGCAATTAGCTGACGATCTCCCCCTCAACATCGTTTCGCAAAGCGACGACAGTCCCGCCCCGCACGTCATCACGAGGGCGTTAACACCGTACCTTCAGTGGACTGCTTGCTTGGAGGAACCCGGGAGTGACAGCACCTTGCCATCACGACAGGAGTACTTGAAGCCGTACGAAATCATTGATCGCGCCTTCTATCCGAGGGAGCCTGAGGAGGTGCTTCAAGAAACCACTGAAGAAGAGGGCGACGCCGATGAAGAAACATCGGAGGAGGGGAGTTATAGTGAGTACAGCGAAGGGGAGCAGAGTGAGGAGGAGGAGGGGCTAGAAGAAGAAGAAGACGAAGAGGAGGAAGCCGGATCGGAGTGGGAGGATCTGACAGAAGAAGTGGCGCGCACGGGCACAGAGCCGGAAGATCCCGAGACGGCACGACGAAGGGAAGAGATCGCCGCCGAGGAAAACCAGTTGGAGATCGCCAGCGGGGCGGGCCTGTGCATCAATGACGATCCAACCAGGGATCCAGAGCCCCCCGAGCCCAAAGATGGTGGATCAGCAACCGCGGCTCCGAGCACATCGCAAAGGAGACGGAGCCGATCCCCCTCCCCCTCCACCCCAACCCGTCCCCCAGTTCGTCCACGTACCGATGCGGGGGATCGGCCTTCGTCCCCGGTCGTTATCCCGCCGTCCCTTTGATTACCTCACCCTTTGCCAGATCTCTACCCCCGTCACCTTCCCTCGCAACCCCTTCCCTCCCAATACTTTCGAGCACTTTTACTCCACCTGTCTCGCCGTCACCGTCCATCCCAGCCCCTCCCTTCAAGCCGCGAACCCCATGTTCTGTCTACACGTCCTCCTATTCAGTGCCGCGTGGCAACAGAGTAACGCAGTAGAAATCTATTGCATAATCACCGGGACCATCCCCGCGTGTCGCCACCATAAACTATTTCGTACGGCACTCTTCCACACCTTCTCCACCCTTTACCCCGACTACCTCGCCTCCCTCCCTTACAGCGGCGATCGGTTTCCCCGCTTTCACCGGATCATCCGCTACGAAGAGCCCCCGATCACGGAGGAAGGGATGAACCGATACTTACCCCCACTCCCCACCAACCATCCCCGTCGACTTTCGCGCTCAGATATGGTGATTTCAATTTTTGAATTAGTGTAGGATATAGGCAAGCTGTAACTGTTTCGGTGCCTTTTTCTCTTGCTGTCGGCACCACGCATGCGAGCATCCTCCTCCTTATTTTTCGCGCCATCCCTCCCCCGCACTCTCCCCTCTTCCTTCCCCCTCTTTTCCTTCTCCTATTGCAACTGTTTTTCCCTGTCTGTTTTTTGTGCGCCTGCTTCCCTTTCTTGATCGTCTGAATCTTCGACCCGTCTCGCACTGCTTTTCGCGCTTCGTCTCTTCCCGCTCATCGACCTTGGCTCACGAAGCCCGGTTGATCCTCCGATCACCCCGGCTCACCAATCAGACGCGTTGGGTAAGAGGATCTTCCTATTGGGCGACGAATCTGATTGGCCGACCGTTGGGCTCTGAAGGATCAACATAGCTTCCACAGCGCGCTCCCCGTTAAGCCTCCTCCTCCTGCCTCTTCTCTTACACCTCGACTTTCCCCATGTCTTCTCCCTCCCTTATCCTCCTTCTCGCAACTATAAATTTCGCAAGCGCGTCCGCAAAACTCTCTTATGTTCTCGACTCCCAAGCCAGCTTTCGGGAAGCAGTGGCTAGAAGAAGCGTTTGGTGCGAATCGGAAAGTCCTGTCGGGCTGATGATAGGCTGGCTGGTTGCGCGCTTGATCGCCATGACGGACTGTGGGATCTGGGCGAACCACGTCGAGATTGCGTCAACGGGGTGACGATGGCAGCGGCGGAAGTTGGCACGCGACGGCTGGGATCGTCGGGGCGGGTATGAGGATCGGTGATTGGAGTTGAGTGAGTGATTGGCCCGGGGCCATACTGGAAATTCACGGCGAAAGCGCCTTTGTTGTTGCGGATCTTTATCCTTTGGTGTGAGTGCACGGCTGCAATGCCGAATGTCATCTGCCGGATCTCCGTATCTCGTATCTCGATATTTCTCTCTCTCTCTCTCTCTAAGTTGAATGGCGCTGTGTCATGAGTTTGTCCTCCCCGTGAATAAGAATGACTCTGTGTGCTTTCCCGTGCAAATGAACTTCTTCCGGAACCCTTCCATTAGTCTCCTGGGTAATCCCCAAATGTCGAGGAATTGATCCTCTTGTCTTGTGAATGGTGAATGCGTGTGTATAGTTTTCTCGGTTGATTTCTGACCTGTGCACCCATGGTTATTTCGCACCTTCCACAGTGGATGTATGTATGTGGATGCTCGTCTTTTTGCATTGATTAGACTCGACGCTCGATAGGATTTTGTTCGAGAACGCAAGAATGTTTAGAACTGCGGTTTTGAATGTACTGCGCATGCCATGTGCCTTATGTTGCACGACATCTGCAACCTATCTACAGGGCAGCTTTGAAAAATAAGGTGCCTCGGATCAACGCCGCGTTGGCTTACTAAACTTGAGTCGCGGGTCGGTCCCTCGATCAGGTGCATGATCAATCTGATGAGTGGTCTCACTCTCTCGTATCGAAAAGAGTTGATTGGTTGTTGTGCAGGTGTTGTTGTTTTTTTTCTTGATGACGTCTCAGGATTTTTGCAATTGATTGATATGTGGACTGGCGAACGCCCTTCGGTCGGGCGTCAGCTTCCCGTATCTCCCATGCCGACGCGACCTTTTCGTTACGACGAGGAAAGGACACGTGTATGCGAGTGGGACGTACGAGAAGCTGTCGCACGGATCGACGAACAGTATTACTTCCCTCCTGAAAATCGTTGCTCAGGATTCGTGGACGCTGGATTTGTCATTATCGATACTCATTTTCCGCCTTATTCAGTATTATTGCCCTTTAAGGAGCTGATCGTCATTTCGTCGACGGCAGTGGAACCCCGCTGGCCTCGCACCCTGTGCACTGAGTGCCAGCGTTTCGAGCGCTACGAATCCAAGGGCTTTCACTACCGAAACATGGAACGGCGACGAACATAGAGAAAGAGCCACATGACTGAGACCCTCCACGTCGGACTCAGAACTGATCAGTGAGCGACGCCGTGACTTAATACACAAACGAGACACGTGAAGCGTGCCGAAGCCTTTTTGCTCTAAACGAAGGGCCGTAGCACCGTGGAAAGTACGACAATACTTTTTGGATTAAATTTTGTATTCCTCTCTCTTTTCGCGCCGAATTCGCGCGAGCATTCTGCAACGCACGAAAAGCGACCAACTCACTCCATCGGACCGTCACGGGGGATTTCAGTTTTGTCTGTGTCCCCACACTCAATTTCCAAAAATCCTTGGCACACTCCATCTTGCTGTTTTTCTGGGCCTCTTTTCCACACACTTAGCACTCCGAACGGAAAACAGCACGGGGCGTGAGGTTGCGCGTCACATGTGTGCATGCTGCGATTTCGTGTGCATGCTGCAATTTTCCTACCTTCCATCTCCACTCCTCTGGGCCAAGTGCGAGCAGTGAAAGCGACTGGCGTGGGTGGTATGCTATCCATCTCATGCCTGGTCACGCCTAGAGAACTCGTGTACGGTACATTGCCTCTCTGTCTACCCATTCAACCCTGCCTGGCAATGCCGTGTCAGGGAGCCGTGCTTTGGAAAAGGTTTACCAGAGACCTATCCCGCCGAACTACGACTATGTTCTCTATAAGAGCCCCCCCCTTCGTCGTCTTCACAGCCACCCAGGCGGAGTAGTACCTAAAGGCCGGCCCCTCCCACAGGATGGCCACCCAGGCAAGCGGGATGGAGAACACAATCTGTTTTGGGTTGGCTGAGATATAGTGTGCATAGCGTAAGACTTGCTCAACTGGTCATATCTCGTCCACTCCTTGGTGACCTGGTCCCAAATGTCGCCCACCTGCAGAACCCCATGCTTGACCCACGTGGATGAAAGTATTACATTATACCCCAGAAGTTGTTTGTCGTTTCCACAAAGGTAAAGTTTTCCCCAAGGCAAAGGAAGAGCGGGTTGTGACGTTCACCTCACGCCCTGTGCTGCCTTCCGGTCGGAGTGATAAAATATGCGGAACAGGCCCTGAAAGAGCAACAAAATGGGGTGTGCCAAGGATTTTTGGGGAAATTGAGTGTGGGGACACAAACAGAACTGCAATCCCCTGCGTGGTTCCAGTTTTAGTGAGAAATGGCCATAGCCGTGCGGGAAAGAAATAGCGCGCTCAGCTTCCAAACGTTCGTTTAATCCAAAAAGTATCTCTTCAGTTCCGTTTGTGGACCCCCGGAAAGGTGAGGGTAGACACGTGGGATCTCGTTTTCGAATTAAGTCCCAGTGCTGTTCGCTATAGAGTTCGGAATTCGACGTGGATGGCATCAGCCTGGTCGCTCTTTCCTTGTGTTCATCCTCACCACGTGTCCGGTAGTGGAGCCCCTTTTCCCAATTATAACACTCGGTGTGGTGACAATCGCTGCACAAAGTGTTAGGCCTCTCCATTGCTCTGCATCTCTCTGTCTATTTCCTACTCTCTCTCTCTCTCTCTCTCTCTCTCTCTCTCTCTCTCTCTCTCTCTCTCTCTCTCTCTC